TGAAAGTAGAATTCTAATATAATTCTACTTGTCGTGATCCCAGCCCAGGTATACACCCAAATACTTTACTGCCCTTTGGCTGTGTAATGTTGTACCATTTAGTTGTATTTCGGTCTCTATTAACTTCCTTCTGTCTGCCATTTGCATTTCAGTTTTCCTGGTTGCAACAGTCAGCTTCATCTCTGTCAGCTTTGCGATCACCATCTTGGCTGCCCACTGCGCCTTGTCCTCTAAAGGAGCGCGCCCACTGACCCGCACAGCCCGGCACAGCACGGCCAGCGCGGCCGGCAGATTTTGATATGTTCGTAAACGAATAGAGTAGCGCCCACTGAAACGGAACCGCTCAGCTCGGCGCCGCACGCTCAGCCCGGCAACGACTCGTATTCTCGATAGGGCAAAAACTGCCGGTATGTCCGCGTGTCAGCGACCATAGCAGCATTGGATTGTTTTATTTCATTTTATTTGTTACATCATGTCCGATGAAATTTTGATTAAAACCGTTTGGGCATATGCACTGTTGTATGAACCCAAGGAAAAATATTACCACGATACCAGTTGTAAAAAAAATGCTTGGGGAGAAGTGTCTTTTTCATTCACGAACCTACCACTTCGATAGTCAAAGTTGTTTTAAATGCGTTTTGGGTCTGATCATGCCGAAGCAATGGGCGGTGGCTGCGGAAATGCCGGCCGCGCTGGCCGTGCTGTGCCGGGCTGAGCGGGCCCAGTGGGCGCGCTCCTTAATTCCGCTCTAGTCCTTGCCCTCACTATAATCGCGAGATCGTCCGCGTTTGCGATCAGTTCTACTCCTTCTTCAGTGTCCACTCGCAGTGACTCGCAGGATTTGGTCGTAGAATATGTTCCACAGTAGGGGTCCCAGGATGGATCCTTGGGGAACTCTACATGTCATATCGTGTTGTAAAGGGTCATTTTTTATATTTTCCCACCCCCCTTATCTTTTTTGTGCCACTGTGTATAAAAAAAATTTAAATAGGAAAGTTGAAGTGAAAACATAGTTTTGTTCATACAGGTTGTTGCAAAAAGTTTAAAAAACAAAAAAAAATATTTTTTTAAATGAGACACCCGGTATATTATGACATTTCTGGATTCTGCGGAAAATTCTGGACATATTTCATGGATAATGTAATGTACCTAACTTCAACTGTTTCGGAAATAATGACAGTAGAAAATTGACTTTTTTTGCAACCTTGATAGGCTGTTAAACCTAAACTGTTAATTTTACAGCAAAACCGATTTTACATTCTTGTCGACAGCTTTTCATAAGCTAGCATTTGACACCAACTTTGAATTTAAACGGAGATTAAATTTAACCGGAATTTTTAATCATGGATGAACTTCAAAGATGGTGTCAAATGATAGATGAAAAACCAAGATAAGAATGTATGATCGGTTTTGCTATAAAATCAACCGTTTAAGTTTTAGAGTCTGTCAAAGATGCAAAAAAGTCAATTTTCTACTGTCATTGTTTCCGAAACAGTTGAAGTTAGGTATATGACATTATACATGGAATATGTCTAGAATTTTCCGCAGAATCCAGAAATGTCATAATATACAGGGTGTCCTATTTAAAAAAATATATGTTTTTGTTTTTTAAACTTTTTGCAACATCCTGTATGAACAAAACTATGTTTTCTGGGAACTATTTTTCAAGCCCTACAACTTTCCTATTTAAATTTTTTTATACACAGTGGCACCAAAAATGTAAAAGGGTGGAAAAATATAAAAAATGACCCTGTACATCGTTTGGCGTAATTATTTTCCTTTCCGACAAATAGGAGTTTACTATCGCTATCAAATATCTACTGGTTTCCCTGTCTATTTACCTACCTTTTTATTGCCTTCTCATGGTGCAGTATTGAACGCGTTTTGTATGTCTAACATCATCATTACACAAAAGTCCTGATTTTTTACTGTCCAGCTGTTTATTTTTTTCCATGTTTCTCTAACACACCTGTGGGCGTCCAAAGTAGATTTCCCTTTCCTGAAACCATACTGGTTTTGGATAATCATATTTTTCTCTCGGGCTTCCTACACGAGCCTGTTTCGGATGAGTATTTCAAATTTCTTGCCGTATCTATTAGGCAAAGTGGTCTGTAGAAACTTGGTTGATTGCTTTCCTTTTTTCCAGATCGCCGGAAAGACTCCACGCTTATGCATCCATTGTATACTTGCAGAAAGACTTCTAGGTTGCCTTTTACACAGGTGCTTAGGACTTCTGGCGTGATAATATCTGATCCCGGGGCCTTTTTGAGTTTCATTTGCTTTATGGCAATCTGCAGTTCCTCTTCCTTGAACTTCACTGCCTCATTTTTTGATAGGTGCAAGTCAATTTCTGCCATTTTTGGCATCTTTGAGAAACATTTTCGTAATTGCTGGGCAACAGTTTCTGCATCAGTCTCGCATATTTTTTTGAGTTTGAATCTTTTTGTTCCTTCAACTCTCCACATACCTTCCTCCATTTCTGTTTTTTATTATTCCTTATTTTACCTTTGAACTGTCTTTTACTATCCTTATATTCTTCTCTGAGATTTTGCAGAGCAATTTCTGTATTACTTTGTCCGCTTGCCCTTGTTAGCTCTCTTCTTCGTCTGTTACAATCTTTCCGCTTATCCGCAATTCGTTGGATCCACCAGTAGACTGATTTGTGATTGTCTGTTCTCAGCCCTACTTTATTAAAGTACTTATTGCACGCCTTTGTAATGTCTTCCCTGACGAAGGGAATTTTTGGACTCCCTTGTGGGAAATTTGATTTTCGAAAGTTGGCAGCACTGCCGTGGTTTCGTAGCTTTGAATCGGCGACAGCAAAGATACTTACTTACGCATCTGTATTTAGGTGATCTGTGTTCAGGGTAAGCGTGTCCAGTTGCTATATTTACCCTGGAGTTATGCTTAACTCGGGGGTGACTCGCTATTGAGAAACCGGCCCTAAGTGAATTCTATGATATTTAGAAGTTTCGTATAGGGTTAAGTTTATTTGTTCTCTACGTTTTCTTTCTCTACTGTTCTTTCCTTTCGGTGCGAACTGAGGTTGAGCTATCTTTCTTAGCAACGACTGGTTGATGCAAATAAACGGTCAGTCGGTTGGCCCGTCTACCAACGGCCAGGTCACAGCTCCTCGGAGGGGTATCCTTTGGACTTGTAGAAGATTCATCGTATGCACTTGGGCCAAATGATCAATTTGGTGGAACGCGCTTAGCAAATCCACCACAGGGCAAAGCTGGACAAGCTCCAACGACTTGCCTGCATGGCTACGATTGGAGCCTTCAGAACCACCCCTACTCTGGCAGGAGGCCATACTAGGAATAATGCCACTTCATCTTTTTATGAAGGCACAGCCCCGGGTGACTCAACGTTTGGGAACAATGGGCTGATAGAGAGCTGAACATGGGACATGCAAGGGCCTGGACTGATACTATCAGAAAGGACTCTCTTCTCACCAGAAAAGATGCAATGTCAAAAACTCAATCCCCCCCCTAGACAAGACAAAATTGTCATCCCTGCAAGGTCGATACCCAACGGTATACCAGACTGAGATCTACGCCATATAGGTGCGTGTTCAGGAGAATCTCCAGAAAGGTTAATCGGGCAAGCATATTTATATATGCAGCCACAGTCAGGCAGCCCTTTGCTCAGACAAGGTCAACTCAAGGCTCACGATGGACTGTATGACAACCCTAGAACTACTCAGTGGCCTGGGTCACAGGGGCATAAAAGGCAACGAGGAGGCGGACCAGCTGGCGCATGAAGGTAGCAATACTGCCTTTATTGGGCCAGAGTCTGCACTTGGGGGTTCTTCCTACCTGGTGAAAACCAAGATCGGGTACTGGTCCAACAACCAGTTACAAGACGAATGGCAAAAAGCCTCCTAAAACTAAACAATAGCCAAGTAAGGATTATCATGGACGTCGTGAGGGGGCACTGGGTGGTCAGATACCACCTGCACAAAATCGGATTCAGTAATGAGACGGGATGCAGGTTCTGAGCAAAGTAGTAAAACTTGGAAAAAATTCTCTCTACAACAGCTTCAAAACGACAGCACTTTTGTAGAAGACTGTAGAACCAATCCATTTTAGAGTATGGTTGAGATAATTATGCTGACGATAAGTTTTCCATACGAAATCATACCGGAAACCATCCAAAATCATTTTCTGAACTATTTAAACCAAATGTGAACTATTTGCGCCAAAACATATATGGTATTGAGCAACAAGAGGCATTGTGGATAAAATATTTAGTAACTTCTCCCCGGCAATCTGCAATAAATTGGGGTTCCAGAGTTTTTATTGGGTACCAGCTAGATCTGATCTACTCCAAACAATAATATATAACCCTAATTTGGAAATAATGAAGCAGCATTAAAATAATTTTTATGAGAGGCATGTAAGCTTATATTTATTCGAAAAAGAGTCTCCAATTTTTGAGTAAAATTTTGTCTTGATGACAAATATTTTACCGCGGTTAAAATCCTTATCGTTCTGCTAGTAAAACAACATTTTTTTCCTAATCAAAGAAATAGAAAACTTTTTAGACAGAAGTATGTATCACGTCAGATTCTCAAGGTAGTTGCTTCTTTTCAACACCCTTCATGGGTTGAAAAAAACTGAGTTAGTTTTCTATATTTGGAGGTTTTCAAATTGACACTCTGTATAAAGTTTTTTTTTGAAGTTTTTAAAATATTACTTCTTACTATACAAACAAAAGACTTTGTAGGATAGACTTTAAATAGTTTTTTCCCCCCGGCATTTTTAGCATTAAAAGCTTCAGCAGCTTCGCTCTGATCATTCACACCATGCTTTTATGTGCTCGAACATTAATTATTATCATTTTTTAATAATATTTGGATACACATAAAGTAGTTTTTTTCAATACAAAAGTATTTATCCCACTGACTGCGCCAAAAACATAAAGGTCATATAAAACTAACAAAAGCCTTTCTGAACTGATAGATGTAAATATAAATTTTGTTATTCTATTGTCCATAGTTGTAAACGCGGTAGCGGCCCTTCTGGAAGAGGTCAACCAAGAAATTGAGGCTAAGAAATTGAAAATTCCTCAAGAAAGCTCAAATCAACAGGTCTGCGCAGAAAAATTAGCTTTTCTTTTTCTTTTTTCTTTTTGCTTTTTTTCTCCATGCCTATACTTATTGTGCTTTTAATCTCGTCGTAAAACTCTTAATTCTTCAGAGAATAAACTTTCATCACATCTTTTAACATCTGAAATATCAAAAATCCTCCAATCTTTAGGGAACTTTATAAACTAGTTGGGACATAATTATTATTTGAAATCATTTTCAACTGTAGACTATTTTGTGTATAATTTTAATTATCGCTTGATTATGCCGACTGCAGCTATATTAGCCATTCCGCTTATAGATTTCTTGGACCCGTATGTAGTTTCCTTGGCAAATTTCCCAATAGATCTTTTTTATGAAAATAGCAGTTTGTTTAGTTATAGCGCCGCTGAATTTTTGCTCCCTTGCACCTGTTTATTTATGTATGTATTTGAGAAGTTTTGGGAATGATACTGTAAACTTCTCAAATTAAAAAAACATTTTGAAGGATTAGGCTTCTTCAAATTGTTGTAAAGTTCGCCTTACGAGACTAGCACTATGGAAAGAATGCGGATAAAAAAATTGCAATATTGCATATTTGACTTCCGATAGAAAATACCTTAATATTTATCTATGTTACAAACCTACATTTATAGGGAAAAAGTAATATTCAAAAACGCTGCGCGCACGCCTATGACAGGCAGCATAAATCTCGAAATGAATGGCGTTATTCCCCCTTGCCCTTCAGACGTCGTAGTGCTAGACCCGTAAGGCGAACTATATGTATACCTACATAAATGGATGATGAAACGCTGTTTTGGTTCACATCAGTGAACTCTGAATACTACGTAATTGTGAAATGTTAGAAAACTGAAGCATAATCACTAGTTTCTCAATTTATTTTGCATGAGAACAGTTAAAATAAATAATAAATAATTCTCCGAATTTGCTAAAATTATCAGTATTTTAACAATACGCTTGGTCTGCAATAGATACTAATAAATATTTTAATATAAGAGATGTTTACCTAAGTGTATTATGCATTGGTAAGACGTTTCCAATTACATATGGCGATTTCCATCTGTCATCAGTGCAGCACTGAGTGTATCCGCATCTTTTTCTAAAACCATTTAACATGTAAGGATAAGGATAAATTTTTTTTGTCCTGATTCGACAAATGGAAAACGCTAATAGAATGGAGTTCGCTGATTCACGTAAACCACTCCGTGTAGACACAACTTTGAAATTTTCTCTCAGGATGGATTCAGACCGAACGGATCACTTCCAAAGGAAGAAGACCAAGGCTCTGTCACAGTTATGGGCATGGAAACTACCGCCAGTTCGGAAAGTGGCAAAAAATGGTCCAGGCCTGATTCACCGGTGCTGCCGCATCCACAAACTGCTCCTCCTAAGGAACCTTCTCCTCCACCACAGGTATTTACAAATTTTTATTGTGCCGCGATCGTGTTTTTCGCGGCTTGAAATAGAATGAGGAAGTATCCATGTAACTTTGTCTTCCGCTGTTAATTTACCTTGTCAAGCCTCAGTTTTTAAAAAAAGTGACATTGAAAAATGCGTTAAGTTTGTATTTATTTTCTAACTTCTCTGCATTTGCTCGTAACAATGTTAATGTTTGTTTAGAACCGGTAGGTAATGTTTGGAATTTGGATGAATGAAAAATTTCAAGTCACGCTTGTAATATTTATAACCACACGAGTACTGTAATGAGCGTTAGCGTTCCGTACGAAAATTCGTGACTCATATTGTGGGCCTCGTTTTGGGCTGTATCTAGCATCTACGTAGCGCGAAGGTACTCATCTATGACCCCGATAGATGACAGATTTTCTCCAGGGATGCACCCCTGCCTACGCGAGCGTTGATTTGTCTCCCAATACCATACGAGGGAAATCATTGTCACATCCTTAGCTCCTAACCAAACCTATACTATTTTCTTTCCAATATCCTCTATTCATCTACAAACCCGTTCGGCCAGCGTGGAAGGTTATAGCCAAAACCCCCCTATATGTATAAGACATGGTGAACTTTAGACCAATCAGTTATGCACCTCAGGGGGGTACACCCAAAGCCTAGCCCTTCAATAAGGACTCTCTCATGGAAGTTGGTCCCTTAAAGTCGCATCCTTCCACGCTAGATCCCTACTGTTAGAAGAAAGATTCATCGAAATGGAACAAGAGCTAGAAAACATAAAATGGTATATCGGATTAAGCAAAACTAAAAGACATGGAGAAGAAGCTCTAAATCAGGACACATCTTCTACTATAATGTTCTTAACCACTTGTACAAGCTATATACCAGAATTTTAACAGGCTAGAATCAAAATTCGAGCTTTACCAACCAAGAGAACAGGTTGGTTTCCGAGTTCACGACGGCACCAACGATCACCTCCAATGTTTTAAAACCGTCATCGAAACATCGGTCAAATATAACAGACCTCTAGTTCGATAGGGTCGAATTGAATGCCAAATGCCATCAGGAAAGCATTAGCAGTATGCCGAATCGATTATCGATACTAAGATGTTATAAAGAATATATTATAAAAATGCCACAAAAACGGTCAACTTATACTCCCCTACACAAAAAATTAAATTGGAAGAGGCGTAAGACAAGGTGACACTCTGTCGGCCAAACTATGCATCACCGTCTTGAAGAACGCTTTTAAAAACTTAGAGTGGTAGAACAGAGGTATTAACATTGATGGGAGGCAAAGACTTAGCCACCTCAGATTTGCGGACGATATTGTACTCATTTCCAACAGCTAACGCGAGACTGATATTATAATCCAAGAACTAACAGACACTACACAAAAGGTAGGCCTGGAGATCAATAATGGAAAAACAAACATGATGACTAATTTAGTCTCCAACAAATTCGATAACGAGATATACTATGGTGCAAAGCTACATATATCTGGGTCACGAAGTGAGAATTATTGGTAGAGATAACCAAACAGCAGAAGTACTGAGGAAAATAATATTGGAATAGGGAGCATGTGGCAGACTTCGAGATGTCATCAGAAATGATGTCCCGATTACACTTAAACGACAAGCTTTCAAGATGTGCTTCTTCTCTGTGCTCACTTACGGTGCAGAGATCCTAACGCTGACCAAAACATCGGCATGCAAGCTGCAAAGAACGCAACGTAAAATTTGGCATTCGTCTCAGAGATAGAATACGAAATGACGCAATTCGTGAGAAAACAAGGATTGATGATGTTCTGGAGCGAATTACAACAGCAAAATGAATATTGGCCGGGCATATTGCAAGATTAAACGATGGTAGATGGACCAAGAAAATCCTGGGATGGCAACCAAGAGCACACAAACGAAGCCGAGGTCGACAGCCAACCAGATGGAGCGATGACGTAAAAAGGATTAGCACCAACTGGATTACAACCCCGCAGGACAGAAAAAAATTGAAATGTTTCGGGGAGCCCTATGCAGCAGTGAACGAACCAAGGCTAAATGATGATGATATTTAACTGACCGTAGAAAATGAGGTTTAGTTATTTTCGAGTTTCGTCCTGAAAAGGTATGTTTACAATCGTTGGCAAGCAGCATTTATTCTAAATTAATGTTTCCGATTGGTATAGATTCAGTGCGCACTGAGTGTATTTGCATCCTTTTAGTCCAGGAGCTGGCGTCGAAAATATGCAAGAGTTTTCGCAAGGCTCATATTTTCAGAATGAGTAGTATTTTAGTGCTACAAAGCTAGGCTACAGTCAGCAGTTCCAGTTCCGGGACACCTGGCGCTGAGATGCGCGCAAAGGTGTATTTTTAATCAACACCTCGCAACAGTTTTCGCAAAGCTGAAAATTTGCAAAGAGCATGCGAATATAATGTAGAACCATAATTTAACAGTCAGACAAAGAAATACGGGGACACGTAGAGTCAGCGCGACTTTGAAGTGGTCAAAAAAATGACGTCACCGAAAGTGTTTTCGCATGGCTGAAATTTGGCAAGGTAATAGTAAAAACAATATATTTATTGAAAAAAACAGTCAGACACTTCTATGTCGGGACCCCGCCAGTCAGCAGTCGATTAGAGTGATATAGGTGGTAGCGCGCGTCATTAGGCATATATCCATGTCGAATAATAATTTCACCAAAAGTGTTTTCGCATAGCTGAAATTTGGCAAGGTAATAGTAAAAACAATATATTTATTGAAAAAAACAGTCAGACACTTCTATGTTGGGACTCCCTCAGTCAGCAGTCGATTAAAGTGATATAGGTGGTAGCGCGCGTCAATAGAATTTTACTCTATATATATCCATTTCGATGAATAATTTTATTTCTATAATTTAAATTATTTGGAATCGGAAACGGTAAAATACATTTTTTTTTCTCTTAATGAGTAAGTGTAAACCTGTAAGTTGCAAGCGTAAGCGCGTATACTTGAATAAGGCGTATATGCATTCGAATTCGGAAACTTCATTATGGTACTGTTAGGTCGAGATTAGGGGAAGGGAAGCGGCAGATGTGATTAGAAATTTTTTTTTTTTGTATTTTATAAAATCGGCGACGATTATAAGTATTTAATGAAACTTACTATAGGTATACTATCACAGTACTGCTGATTAAATGGTCAAGTAATATTTATACGAATCGGGCTTTTTTCTAACCGCAAACTTTTTAACTGCATGTACAATTTTATTTTACCGTTTCCGATTCCAAATAATTTAAATTATAAAAATAAAATTATTCATCGAAATGGATATTATATATAGAGTAAAATTCTATTCTATTCTATTCATTTTAATCGACTGCTGACTGAGGGAGTCCCGACATAGAAGTGTCTGACTGTTTTTTTCAATAAATATATTGTTTTTACTATTACCTTGCCAAATTTCAGCTATGCGAAAACACTTTTGGTGAAATTATTATTCGACATGGATATATGCCTATTGACGCGCGCTACCACCTATATCACTCTAATCGACTGCTGACTGGCGGGGTCCCGACATAGAAGTGTCTGACTGTTTTTTTCAATAAATATATTGTTTTTACTATTACCTTGCCAAATTTCAGCCATGCGAAAACACTTTCGGTGACGTCATTTTTTTGACCACTTCAAAGTCGCGCTGACTCTACGTGTCCCCGTATTTCTTTGTCTGACTGTTAAATTATGGTTCTGCATTATATTCGCATGCTCTTTGCAAATTTTCAGCTTTGCGAAAACTGTTGCGAGGTGTTGATTAAAAATACACCTTTACGCGCATCTCAGCGCCAGGTGTCCCGGAACTGGAACTGCTGACTGTAGCCTAGCTTTGTAGTACTAAAATGCTACTCATTCTGAAAATATGAGCCTTGCGAAAACTCTTGCATATTTTCGACGCCAGCTCCCCGACTATTTTAATCGACCTGTAGAAAAAAAAGACACAAATTGAAAAAATTGCACTAGTTCCGCACTAGATCTACCAATCGGAAACGCCATATAAGTGATGCCTTACAACTACTAATTTCCTCAAAAATGCTACAACTTAAGATTATAACATGTCCAACTACAGGGTGTCTCAAAACGATCCAACTAATTTAAATGAAATCTAAAACAAATCTGTTTATGTCCGATTGACCAATAAAGTACTATTTATAGAACAGTTTTGCGTCAATAAAGTAGCACTTTATTGTACTAGTAAAATAAAGTGCTACTTTATTTTACTAGTAAAATAAAGTGCTACTTTATTGCCTACCTGGACTACCTGATAAGGTGAAACAGGTCCTGACAATCTGCCAAGGTGAAACAGGTATACCTACGCGAATTTTACTTTTTTCATTCAATTTTTTTAATTTTTAACAAAAACCAGTCAGAATCGTACATAAAATCATGTATATAACGCTTATATAAACAGGCTTTATTGACTCATTATTTAATAGCCTCGCTCGCAAGCTCGCTCGGCCATAAAATTATTCGTACAATAAAGCCTTACTTTATGTACTTGTTTTATAAATAGCTATTATTTTCAAACGTCATATAACAGTAATTTTAGTGATCATTTTGACAAGATATAAGTGTCACTTCAATGTTCAATGACTTGCAGCTTGAGCGGCGTATAAGTGTTATACTCCGCCGGAGTATAACACTTATACGCCGCTACAGATGTTTTTCCATAGCGATTTAAGGTAGTTCACCTGTACATACAGAAATAGGTGCTTATAAAGGTGATCCATCTAAATATGAATGTTATGAATTAAATTAAAAATTCTGCACTATTCGGAATAAAGATTGTTGTCATTTTGACAAGGAAGAGTCACTTCAATGACTTTTAGCTTGAATGGCGTATAAATGTTATACTCCGCCGGAGTATAACATTTATACGCCGTTATACATGTTTTTCCATAGCGATTTAAGGTCATTTTATCTTGATAACATTTCAACCTGTCATAAATTTCTTTATTTTTGAAGTTATGTAAATAAAT